TTTGGGGGTGGTTTTTGATTGGGTGTCCCAAGGGTAAACGGGAAGCATGTTGTTGCAGCAAGCATTTGCAGGGAGATGTTTTCAGGAAATTTTTTTTTTGACTTCTTCAGCAGGACGCTTTTTGACGTCCTTTTGGGACAGAGGACGGGAATTTGATGAAAGTCGGGGCCCCCTAGGGTTCATGGTCAGGGGATTTTGGACACTGTGGGTTTAGGGGCCAGGTCCCTTTTCCTTTTTGAGTGCAACATTTTTTTTTTTTTTTTTTTGTGGGTGGGGTACGCATTTGGCCCCCCAGGGGAGGTTTTTTTCCCGCTTGAAGCCTTGGTTTTCAGGGACGTTTTTCCCAAGTTTGGAGGGAATGCTTTTAGAAGGGATGGTTTGGGTGCAAGAAGTTGGGGGGGGAAACGTTGGTTTTGGGGGGGAAGTAAAACTTTTTTTTGTTCGGGGGGAGGGCTTCCTTCCATGGGGGTCGGGAGGTTTGAAGTAAAATTTTGGGAAAAAAAAATTTTTTTTTTTGGGAGAAAGGATGAATTGATTGCCCCTGCAGCCAAGGGGGGGGGGGTTTTTGCCGCCCCCCGCCCCCGCCCCCCCCCCCCCCTCCCGCCCGACGCGCGAAACCACTTCATCGACCCTCCATGAAAAATGGTACAATACCTGCACATGACACCGACTAAAAACGTCAGGAATACAGAAAATCGCACACAAAGTAAGATCAATGTACACACCTCGACACGCGAGCAATCACCGATGATCGATGACATCGTCGTCGGCCTAGAAAATGGCACCACAAACGAACGCGGAGCGGAGCCAAACACACACACACGCCAGCGCGCGGAGGGTGGAGTGCGGTCACATGCATGCAGCATAAGAGAGCCAATGGCGACGAGAGCTCTCCGCCGTTCGTTCGAAATCCAAATCCCCCTTCCCAGAGGGAGCGGCGGGGGTAGATGAAAAAGGCGGCATCTCAACTCCCGTCCAAATGCCGGCAAGAAAGTGCGCAAAACAAATGGTACCTGGCATGAAACTGCCGTCACTGCTTGCTGTGCCGCAAACACGCACGGAGAACTGCGGACCGAGAGAGAGGGACGAAGATCAATCCTTAACCTTAAGAACCCACCGATTTATCCGTCTTCACCTTCAGTAATAAAAGATAGCAGTACAACCGAACACACACCCATACAAAACCCGGGAAAACATGCAAAACAAAAATAAATCAGAAAAAAAGTGTTTGGGGAGTGACCGCTACCATCGTTTTCCTACGCCCGGCGTAGAACCACCAAAGCACACACACAGGCAAGCAGCCAAGTAATCAAAGACACCAACATTTTCGGCCATGCCGGCCCAGAACCTCAAAAGCCTATACGCTCACGTATATCCATCCCCCATTGACCCCCAACCCGCTGGCCGGAGCGCTGTATACTTAACCTAGTCCGACGGAAGTAGGGGATCAACAGACCCCATCGCACCCGCACCCGCGCCCTTCGGGGGGGACGAGTGAACAAACACGACTGCCACCATGACGACGAAAGCGAATACGAAACCTCTCCGGTGCAGAACGGGGGGGGGGCTACGTACCTTGAGGGACAAGTTTATAAACATCCCCAGGCTCCGCGATTCCCACCGTTCTCAAGCAGCAAACGCCACCCGTCGAGACTATTGGGGCGGAATCGCAGCCGGGCCCTCAGGCTTCAGCAGCTGTGCCTCGACAAGTGACTTTCGACTCGCAAAACACCCTCGTCTTTCGTCCCAAACCACACCATAAAACGGCGAACATGTCGTCTGCGGCCGGTATGCTCACGGCAGCCCTCTACCCGTCCCAGCATCTACAGCCACGCAAGCTCCGCGTTAGGAATCCATCGATGCTTCCCCTCCCACCCGCGGGCTGTCAGTCGTGGGGGTCCCTCTACAGCAGCCGTAGACCCACTCGGGATCTATGCCACCACTGTCGGAGATCATTTTACCGGAGATTTATCTCCGATGGGGACGTTCACTTTAGGAGATCGTCCAGGTCGTCATCCACCCATGAGGCCGCACCACCCTGTTTCGGCGCACGCAAAAACACAAACACACACAGAGAGATAGAGAGAGAGAGAGAGAGAGAGAGAGAGAGAGAGAGAGAGAGAGAAAATCACGATCAGAGCACAACAACGACGACGACAATACCAACAACAACAACGATGACGACGACGACGACGACGACAACAAGGTCGACTTGACTATCATAGTCTGCACCTCTGTTTCACTCACCGATTGCCGCGTTGCGCGACAACGAAAACAAAACTTGTCTGATACATACTATCTCCGTATGTCCGTGTCGCGTGAATTGAGGTGTGTGTCTGTTTCTCGGCGCAACGCTAAACAAGAGGCGGGGGTGTTGGTGATGTACAGGGGACGGAAATGTGTTTTCAAGCCCACAGGCCGAGCGCACGAGCAGCACCGCCACCAAGACTACCACGGACTAAGTTGGCTGGCTCCACACGGACATCAGCGCGGTCGTTGCACCAATCTTCCTGTGATTGTATGAAAGTCTTTCTGTCATTGAACACTTCCTAAACAAAAAAACGCGCAGGGGGGGAAACAGGCCGCTGCTCTGGCGCGGTTCCTTCTACAGCAGTATTATAGTTCGTCTATTTCTGTTAAATGTAAATAAACATGGTAAATGGACGATTTCCATTGTCTACTTGTATGAGAGTAAAACGTGGTATTGTCTCACCGTCGCCTCCGATGCCTGAAGGGCCAAGCTTCGGTCCGCCGCCTGACCCGGGCGGGGCTTCTTCTCCCGGAAGGTTGGTTTCGCCTCGATGCCGAGCTCCTGTTGGGAATAATTGTTCCGAAAGAAAGAAGAAAAACAAAAAAAACGGAGACGCACAGAGCGACCATTGACGATTGGATCGTAAGACAGGGGGTCAGCGGTTCTCAAGGTTGACTTGCGGCGCGCCAGCGGTAAAAAGAGACATGCAATCACTTATCTTAGTAAAGAGAAAACCAAAGGTGAGAGATGCGTGCTTCCTTCCTCTGCTGTCCCGGAATTCAAAAGCCCTTTTGGAGAGAGACGGCAAACATAGGAAAAGCTCGATTCGAGTGTAGAGGGTCGTTTTCGACCAGCAAACAGACCAACCGCAAGCGTGTCAACATGGTGTATCGTACAAGATGCCCAACAAAGAAAGTTGGTACGTACACCTACGATGAGGACGCGAACTTCTGTAGACACCAGCATCTTACAGGCACGGACGCTCGCTCACCGCAAAGAGGTCGTCGTCCGCAAGGATACCGATCGTGCCGTCGGATTGCTGTCTCGCCCTGGCAGAACCGCCGCTGGCGCCCCTTCCTCCCCGGCGCCCCCGGCCGCCGCCGCCGCCGCCGCCGCCGCCGCCGCCTTTCGATCCCCTCCCCGGCTTCGAGGGCCTAGACGCCCCGTTCCTTGCCGTCGCCGCCGCCGCCGCCGCGCCATCTCGCGACTCCGACCCGGCAAGCACCATCGACGATGCCGGGTTTCTGCTGCCCGGCATAGGCCCCCCGGGCTGCGCTCGAGAGCCCCCCCCGCGCCGCCCGCCCCCGGCGCTGGTGGTGGTGGTGGTGGCGGCGGGGGGGGGCGGGGATGGCTTCGGGGGCATCTCGATGTCGTCTTCTTGCTCCCCGTCCCACGCCCACTCCCCGCCGGAAGACTCCTCGACGTTCGCGGTGTCAACTCTAACAAACAAACAAACGAAAAAACAAACGGAACAACAAGGAGGTCGATGAGCCGCCGTCGACAGCGCAAGAATAGTCAGACACGAACAGAAGCGGTGTTGAGGAGGGGTGCGAAGAGTCGCATAGGAGGAACGGAGGTGTCACGAGAAGCCTTGCTGCCCTGCTGGCTAGGCATCTATCTCAGCGGCTACGCTCTTTTTGCCGACAACGGTCGAAAAAGAGGAAACGGAGGGGCCGCAGCACTGCTGCCGACAACTCTTGCACGGGGCACGCACGCGCCTTCTTTCGAAACGACAGCGAGGTACACAAGCACGCAAAAAAAAAGGGTCGGAAAAAGCAGCAACCGGGAAGCACAACCAGCCGGTGGTGGACACATCTGTCTCGCAACCGACTTCGCCAACCCAAAACACACAGCCCACAACACACGCGCACACAAATACAGGCGGACGCACGGAAAAACAGTTAGCAGGTAGGGAAGCAGCACTACACAACCACCACTCACGGGGTGTAGTTCGGTCCGTCCGAGCCTCCCCGCGAGCACTTCCGGACGCACTTCGTGACAAACATAAGCAGCCCCCCGACCAACACCACCACGAGGAGGGGCAGGCCCGCGGTGTACAGCAGCTCGGTGGGCGTCTGCTGTTGCGGATCTCTGAGCGACGGCGCCCCTCCTGCCGCCGCCGCCTGCTCCGACGACGACACCGCCGCCTCCGCCACCTCCGATGCCGGCGCAGCAGCAGCAGCAGCATCCGAGCATTCCGGGAGCGCCGAGACCGTGGAGGGGCTGCTCCTGCACCTGCCCTCGTCCTCCGCCCACACGCACAGGAACGTGCTGCCGCCCTCCGCCGGCGGTACGTCTTTGTTGGACTCGTGGCACGCGTCGCACGACAGGAACTTGCCCGGGCAGGCGTCCTCCTGGCAGGACTCGCCCCTCCACGGGAACCGGCACTTGCACAAGCCGTGGCCACCGCACGCCAGGTGCTCGCCCCCGCAGTCCGCGTCCGACGTGCACTGCTTGCCCTTGTTCCCGTCGCCGCCGCCGCCGCCGCCGCCGCCGCCGCCGCCGCCGCCGCCGCCGCCGTAGCCATCCCCACTATCGCCGCCGGTCGCGCTCTCGACCGGCGGGTTAGCTGGAGGCGAGACATCGTCGCTCCCCTCGGCGGCCGAGTATTGGCCGCTGCTCGCGCCCGTCGCGGCGGAAGCGGGCACCCCCGCAAGCTCCGTCGGTCCCCGGTCGTCCAAGCGGTCGCCGTACATCCTCCCCGCCCCTCCTTCAGCCGCCGGCGCGTCCCCTGCCCCGGTCGTGCTCTGCACTTGCCACCGCTCCTCGTCCTCCTGCTCCGCCTCCTCCTCCGCTGCTGCCGACAAGCCTGAACCGCCGCCGCCGCTGGTGGAGGCAGGCTGCGTGGGGATCCCCCCCCCGTCCACCACCCCCGCACCATCGACCACCCCCGCGCCATCGACCACCCCCCCCCCGTTGACCACCCCCCACCCCTCTTCTCCACCGTCGCCGCTGCCGGTTGCGATCGTCGTGCCTGACGCCTCCGTCTCTGCCGTCTCCGGCGTAGACTCGCCGCCGCGGCCGTTGTCCTCGGCGTGAGAAGACTCCTCGCCTCCTTCTTCTCCTCCTTCTCCTCCTCCTTCGTAGCCATCCTGGTGGCCTTCCGCGGCGCTGCCCTCGGCGACCGGATCTTCTTCCACAGATGTCGCTACTGCTGCTGCTGTTGCCGCTGCCGCTTCGCCAGGGACGCCCTGCTGCCCTCCTTGCCCAGCGCCCCCGTCCTGGGAACCACTGCCGCTGCCGCCGCCCCCGCCGCCGCCGTCGTCGTGGTCCGGCGCATTGCCTTCGACCAGCGGCGACGATCCGGATCCGTCGTCGCCCTCTCCGTCCCCGGGCGGCGGCGGCGGCGGCGGCGGCTCTCGCCCGTCCTCTTGGCCCTCCTCGGCAGCAGCAGCAGCAGCAGACGCAACAGAACCAGCAGCAGCAGTAGCAGCAGAAGCAGCATCGCTTCCGGTACCGCCATCCTCTTGCCCCCGCAACCCCCACCTGTCTTCTGCGTTGCCCCCTGGGGGTGCTACCAGCGCCTCCCCCGCCGGTTGCCCATCTCCCGTGGGTGCTTCTTCCGGAGCCGTCGCCGGGGCCCCGCCGCCCCCTCTGCCCGGACCCCATTCCCAGCTGCCGCCGCCCCCACGTTCTTCCTCATCTTCTTCTTCTTCTCCGCGCGGCGCTTGTTGAAAGGCGACGGCTCTTGAGTTCTCTTCCTCGGGGTGGCTAGCATCGCCGCGGCCTCCGGCAGCGCTGCTGCTGCTGCTGTCTTGGGGCTGCGCAAGGGCGACCTGGGGGGAGCCTTCGCTTCCTGCACGCGCGGATGGGTAAAGCAAGCAAGTGAGCTAGCAATTGCGAAACGCGAGCAACGTGAGCAACGTGAGCAAGCAAGCAAGCAAGCAAGCGAGGAAGGATGTTTCGACGCTGTGCACTAACAGGTTCCACATACAACAGGGCCAACCCAAACAACAGCCCAAGCCCCTCCAGCCCCGGCGTGCACGGCGCAGACACAACCACACACATCTTACACACGCGATTTTCGGTCTACATTCCACGCCCGAAACCCCCTGTCAGGGGAAACCGCGGATTCGGGAAACGTTTTTGCGCTGTTGTTGGCCAGCAAAGAACGAAAGAAGTCTCGGCATTGGCTAACCGGGAGAGCGTTCGAGGCCAACTAGAGAAAGAGAACAAAACATCCGCACAAACAAAACTAGAGAAGAGAGCATACACGCACACTGGCACCGAGGTGCTTGTGTTTGTTGCGTCATCGTGAGACCCGTCTTTTTTCATTGGCCAGCCGGTTAGCGAGGTGGATGCGATTTGAAGACACGGGCACACGCTACAGACTAATGTCTTTTCGCTAGTCTGCCGGATAGCGCGGTCGATGAAAAACCCAAGAACCACAAACACGCACCACAATGGACAGGCTCGCCTTCCACCCTTATCATGATTCCCGCCAATGATAATGTGAACTAGGCTGGAGCTCAAACAAGGGACACACAACGCGGCTCTTCCACGTGTACCATGATCGCGGGTTCGACTCAGCCGCATCCATTTTACGATCGACGTTTAACAACTCTGGGGCACCGGAGAGGCCTTTCAGAGATGCGCACACGAGCCTATCTCCCAGAACCCCCCCAAATAAAAAAACGTAGGACAAACAACGAGCCTTTGCAGGGTCTCTACAATATGCACCTCGAACACCTCGATGTCCAGCGATGCTGGAACAGGTTTCCGGTAATAAGTGTTCACATCTACGATTCTTGTCGGACGAGAAGTACTGCTTGTCGGAAGGTCATAATATCTCACCTGCTGCTGCTGCCGTAGGGGACGCGCCGTCACCCGAGTACCAGGTGCCGCCGCCGCTTGCTCCTTCTCCCTCAGCCGCCGCCGCCGCCGCCGCGCCATCTCCGTCCTCGCCTTTGCCTTCGGACGTCGGAACCAGATCGCCTGGTGCTGCTGCTGCAGCAGCAGCAGCAGCAGCACCATCGCCCCAGTCCCAGCCCCTACCCTGACTCTCACCTGGCGACACACCCTCCTCCTCCTGCCCGAGGCCGTCAACGCCGGACGCACTACCGCCAGGCAGCCCGGTGCTGCCGGAGACAGGCTGCGGAACTTCTTCTTCCTCGCCATGAGGCGGGGTGGCGGCGGCCTGCCCATCGCCGCCCCAGCCCCAGCCGAAGCTATCCCCTTCGCTCGCGTCTCCTCCGCGAGCAACGGCTTCACCATCGCCGTCATCTACAGGCTTCTGCGGGGCTGGCGGCAGATCGTTAGCCGGAGCGGCGGCGGCGGCGGCGGCGGCGGCGGGGGTCTGCCCATCGCCGCCCCAGCCCCAGCCGAAGCTATCCCCCTCGCTCGCGTCTCCTCCGTGAGCAACGGCTCCACCATCGCCGCCACCCACCGGCTCCTGCGGGGCTGGCGGAAGATCGTCAGCCGGAGCGGCGGCGGCGGTGGCGGGTTTGTCTCCCCAGTCCCAGCCGCCATCACCCCGGCCCGTCCCTTCCTCTGGCGGCGATTCCGTGTCGCCCCCCTCCTCAAGAGGGTCTGGTTCGGGACCGCCTTCAGGGCCAGGCAAATCCTCCCCCGGCCCATGGTCCCAGTCCCAGCCCCAACCCTCGCTCTGACCCATCCCTTTCCCTGGCGGCGGAACTCCTGCCGATTCGCCACCCTCCTCACCCTTCTCATCCTCCTCCTCCCCAGGGCGGGTGTCGACGCTCTCCGCGGGGGCCGGCGCAACGGGGGTGCCGTTCAGGAGGGCGGGCGATTCTTCTCCCGAAGTGTCGGCGGGAACAAGGACGGCGAGCGGCTCGCTGCTCTCGGCGCTTGCCTCGGCACCGACTTCGTCCTCTGCCGCCGAGCCCTCTCCTCCTTCACCTGGCGTCACCGCCGCCGCCGCCACCGTCGTGCCCGCCTGATCTCCGAGGCTGCCCGCGCCACCTCCTTGCGGAGCAGGCTCCGGGTCGCCCGGTTGCACCCAACCCCCCTGCTCGTCCCCGCCCCCCTCGCCGGCGCCCTCGCGCGGCTCCTCTTCTCCTTCCTCCCTACCGTCTCCAGGAGGTTGGACGACCCCCTGCTCCTCATCCTCGCCGAGATCGTCCTCCTCCTCCTCCTCGCCCGCGCCCTCGAGCGGCTCTTCTTCTGCTGCTTTTGCTTCTCCCCCTTCGGCCCCGTCTCCTGCAGGCTGGACGGCGTCGGAGGCCGGCGAATCTTGCACCGTTGTGGTCTCGGGGGCGCTTGTCGCGGCCGAAGTCGTAACCGAGGCTGACGACGCGCCTTCCCCTCCTTCTCCTGCTACCTCAACAGCCGTCTCTACCTCAACAGCCGTCTCTACCTCAACAGCCGTCTCTACCTCAACAGCCGTCTCTAACTCGACAGCCGTCGCCACCGGCCTCGGGCTCCCTCGGTCGACACCTTCCGTCGCAGACATGGTTTCTAGGGCAGCATCCCCATCCCCGCTTGGCGCAAGCAAGGCTTCCTGGATATCTGTCTCCGGGGTTTCCAAAGAGTCCGTTGGCGGCTGCGGCTGCTCGGGCGCCACCGCCGCGGAACCGCCGACAGAATCGTCTTCCTCTCCTCCGCCCTCCTCATCCGATGCCAAGCGCTCGTCTTGGAAAGAAGAAACGGAGGCTCCTGCCTCTTCTTGGCTGCTACCCGCTTCGTCGTGCGGTGCTGACCAAAACAAAACGATACGTCGTCGGATGGGGGGGGGAGGGGGGGGGGACGAGGCTGAGTTGGTGGCAGCATCGGTTAAATAATGTTTTTGGTTTTGGGCAGACAAACTGGGATGGGATTGGGGGGCAGGGGGGGCAGGGGGGGCAAGAGGGTGATTTGGTGGGAGTGTCGCTTGAAGACGTTGTGCAGCCAACCCACCTTTGCGGCGCTGTATCTACAGCACGGCGTGAAAAAACGTTCCTATTAAGTCAAGCTCTTCAACCAACAAAGCAGGGGGTGACCAAAAACGAATGCACTATCCCGCCCAACTCCACCCCTAGACAGCAGCGAGCTGCACCTGGGAATGGCGTTGCCGGAGACGAATTGCAACTACGGGTGATCTGCTGTCACCATAGGTGCATGGAATAGTCCGATCGGATGGCATTACGAGGGTCTGCGGGCTCGAGCATCCTCGACGAGCTCAAAACAAGCAACGCAATCACGAAGTCATCAGCGTTTGCGACGGCGAGCTCTAGGGCAATCGACGTTCGGCTACCATAGCGCAAGCACAAAACACACGTGTGCGTAGCAACTGCCCACGCACACTCACACGCCTCTCTGTCGGACCACTCGCGTTCTGCTTGCAAAAAGCTGGTGGCGACAAAAAAAACACTAACACAAGTACAGCGTTCCCCGCCACTCCCTGTTGCTGTCGGGTACGCAGCAACGGGTGAGTTGATACAACCAACCTTTGGGCACCCGTCGCTTTTGACAAGACTACATCTACCAGCCAGCAGCAGTGCTACTACCTGGCATGCCGGCTTGTCTCGCAACGCTAAGTAATAGGGCGACTCAAGAGTCCAACATCAACGCGGTTGAACTCCCCGCCGGGGATAAGAACCACACCTGGAGAATCTGCTAACCCAGTTCCGTCGTCGGCTTCTTGGGTCATTTCCCCTTCTCCCGGTTGCTGTTGCTGCTGCTGCTGCTCCTCCTCTTCCTCCTCCTGGTCTGGCATTATCGCCCCGTCCGCCCTTTCGAGGGCTTCCTCCTCCTGCGCCTCCTCCCCCTCCTGCTCTTCCTCTTCTTGCTTCATCTCGTCGCCCTCTTCCTTTTCAAACACTTCTCCCAACGGCCCCGCCGCTTCCTCCCCACCCGCCGCTTCCTCCCCATCCACGCCCCCTTCCTCCCCCGCCTCTTCTGGCCCCGCTGGTGACCCTCCTCTTCCTCCTGTCCCTCCATCTTCTCGCTCTTCCGCGTCGACGTCGCTTCCCCCCACATCCTCCACCACCGGCGAGTCTCCGGAAGAGTCACGCTGGTCCGATGACGACGCCGTTGATTGGGTCGCATCAGCAGCGCCTGTGCTCTCGCTCTTCCCGCTACTAGAGCCGCTTTCAACGTCATCGCCCCCATCGGTCGAGTCTCCCTCCTCTTCTCCCCCCGCCTCTTCGATCTCGGCTTTCGGCGGCCGATCAGCGCCGTCGTCCTTGGCTTCGACCTGGACGTCGACCTCTACTTCGCCCAAACCGTCCGCTACTTCGGGTTCGGGCCCTGATTCGTCTACCTCCTCGGCCGACCCCTCGATCTCGGGACCGTCAACGCCGCCGGAGGGATGCGCGTCCTCACCGCCCGATCCCTCCTCGCCGCCGCCGTTGCCGCCGCCGTTGCCGTCGCCATCACCGTTGTCGTCGCTGCCGTGACTCTTGTTCGCCTTTTTTCCGGCGCCTTTGTCATTCTTATCCTCGTCCTTCTTTTTCTTGTTCTTTGCCTCCCTCTTGTTTTTTCCCTTCTCGTCCTCTTTCCCGTCTTGGTTTTTCTTATCCTTGCCCTTGCCGCCCAAGCGTCGCCGCTCTCTTTGCCCAATAGCGGTGGCGACAGCGGGAGAAGCGCGCGCAGCAGCTGCAGTAATTTTTCCGTCGGAATGATTCCGCAAGCCATCCAGCTGACCCCGCGGTCCTTCTCCACCAGGAGAGGATGAGCCGTTGATACTTTCCATGTCCCTCCCTGCCGGCCGCATGAGGTCGAAAGAGCGGCGCAACGAATCAACGCAGGAGGTCAAGGGGGCGCGCGTTGGTAGCAGTGGCATGAGGATGGGTTGGTTAGGTGCGAGGCGTGGCCCTCGCACGCAAGAGTGATTCAAGTTTGAGTGATATTCTAAACGCGTGTTGGCAGGGAACGTCGCCTTACATGGCACGCCTCAGGGCTCACGACAGAGGTCATCATAAAAATATCCAAACAACAGCAGTACGTGAAGCTCAAAAGAAAAGAGAACAAGCAGCCGCGGTGCCGCCAACACAGCAGGAAGTAAGAGTGGCCTTCGAGGTGCGTATCTACTGAAAATCGAGATTCCGGCCCGAGACGGACGAGATGCCGTGAACACCGACTACTGCCCCCTGAACACATTAATCATTGCGCGTATACAGACTTTTTTACGTACAATGCAGTCGAGCGCTTTCTGTCCCATGCTTGGAAACCTGCCTCATTGCAACGGCGTACATTGTTCCCATTTTTTCAAGACGTGCGGCTGTATCATGTAAACTTGGTGACCATGCCAAGGAAGATTTTGCTCCAAAACCGGTCAAGAAAAGGTTCGAGCAGCGTGTGCCACTTGCTCTGACAGGTACGCTCGTCCTCCGTTAATACATACACCCATCAAACCTTCACCATCACTGCAACCTCCGCTCTTGCGACGTTGAACAGGTAGCGTTGGTTGCTCGCTCTACACAAACAACCCATTTCTAGTGCCTATGGATACAACAAAAATCGTCGGGCCCGCTGGCTTCCGCTTCGAAAATCGCGAATACCCCACAGCGAAACATTCGGGCATGCCCAAAATAGACTGCTGTACTTCTTCACAAAGAGAAATGCTTGTTTGTAGCTGGAAGAAGGACGACCCAATTCATCCGCAAGACATCCATGAGGGTCGATGCATGGTGCATGAAAGGTGCACACGAACCTGCGCTTCCAACGAAAGTGCATTATTAAGCAGCGCGAGACAACGACCAATTTGCGGTTACTTGGTGGGAACTCTCTGACGGCGCTATCGTAGCACATCACTTTTAACATCTGCTGCTGGTGTTGGCAAACGTGCGTGTCACACAGAGTTGGGGAAGGCGTGTGTTTTCCCGAAACAGGCATCGTGGCTTTGTAGTTCAGGCAAGTTTGAGTTTGGTTTGGTTTTCCGGCGGCTCCCCCGGTTGTGCTGACTGCATGCTGCATTGCTGCATGCATTCTTGGGTGTACCGCATACGTACTGCTGTATGACTCGTATGGGTGGCATGCGTTCGTGTAGAGAGGCGTTTGCTGAAGGACTCTCTGTACAGAGTGCCAACCAAAGGCGGGAGAACAAACACGCATATACAATCGATGTGTACCTGGTGCCCTACTATACTACTAGTACAACAATACAAGTATTAAGATTACTATTCATAGTTGTGGGTGTTGCCAGGCGGTCGTTTCTCTACAGCGGTGTACTACAAAGAGAGGCTCCACACTCCACACAAGACAAAAGACACATTCAGTTTGTCCGCCGCGCGAGCCTCAGGATTTTGATCCGAACCAAACTGAGCAAACCAAGCCGCCTTTTCTCTCTCTCTGCCTCTGCTTCTGCGTCTTCCTTTCTCGGGTATACCCACCTTTGGCGCCATCGTCGCCTATGAGCGGTGCTTTCCCGGCGCCGAGGCCTCCGCGTCCGAACCCCATCTTTGGCGGTTCTCAAGTCTGCTGTACGTGAGACAACAGAGAGCCGTCACAGCAGTATACTGTAGGCAGGATAGAGTTCCCTTCCAGCTCGGGAGCTGTTCAAAGAGAGAAAGGGACAGAGACAGATTCCCCCTCTTGAGCCTTCCAGGTAACTACGCTCGCGCGCTCGTTCGGCGGACTATTCACTGCCTATCCTCGAGCTTGTTCCCCTCTGCCCTCACAGATGGAATGGTAATGTGGTACGGCATCGACGATCGCCGTGCAGTGCAGCGGAAGGGGCCCCGTCATATCGTGATACCCCCCCACCGATGGGGTAAATGTGTTTTGTTCTCACTTCGAAAGGACCCTCTGTTATTACCCGACAAATAGGGTGCTCTCCCTCTCACACACAACACCCCCCTGTCTGGTAGTCTCGAGGGTCTCTGACCAGCAGCAGCTTGTTCCTCTCCTGGTCGAGGAGAGCAGAGACAGACAGGCCCACACCTCGTCTTGCGTTTTCCCCCGATAATGGAATCGCCCGTTCGCTCGGTGGAAACTGGAGAAAACGGGAGCGGGGCCGGGGGCGGTGGGGCGAATCAGCAGCAGCAGCAGGACAAGGCGACAGCAGCGGGTCAGGCCGGGGCCGGCGGGGCAGCGGCGGCGGAGACCTCGCCGTCCCAGCGGTTTGAGGCCAAGTCGTACCTCGAGCGGCAGGTGGAGGAGCTGTCGTGCGCGGACGAGGACGAGGCCCAGGAGAAGGTGTCCCAGCGCCTCCAGCTTAAGCAGGACCAGGCCCAGAAGAAGAGGTACGGGACTTTTCTTCCGTCTTTCTTCAACGAAAACATCCGAGAGATGAAGCGAAAAATATCATACCAAAAAAAATGGGGAGAGAGGGCTTTGATGTGGCACCTTGTGGCTGTACGGTGGCAATCCATCTATGATGCTATGTGACCCGGCGGGGCAAACTGCATCCAGCCTGTGGGAGAGCAAGAAGAGTCCACTCTTGATGTCAACGTTCCTTCAACATATAGGCTAAAGTGGTACTACAGGTTAGTGGCCCGGCCCGAGTGTACTACACCATCTTCTTGGCTTTTTTTTCCCCGCAGACCCCCGATTTGATACGTATTTTTTTTGTGTGTGTGCGCTTGCGACTTTCTCTTGTTGTGGCAGGGACGTGCAGCTGCAGCGGAGGCGCAAGGGCATCGCTGAGAGGGTGAGAACATAAGCACACCACGCATTGACTGGGTAAAGTGCCGTCCCTTCCTCCCTGTAGCAACAGCGGTAGCTTTCATGTGTGCCTTTGTGGTTGAGTGCCTTTGGTGTGACGTGCTCAAAAACCTCCAGGGAGGGGCAGTCTCTCTTTTTGACCAGACCGGCTATCGCGATATCGCGATGAAGGAGGATCCTTCGCAATCGAAGTATGTGTCATACGGCGGTACAGAGATGGGGACCTCTGAAGGGTCTGGCACGCGTTTCAACATGTTCTGGTGCTGATGTGTAGGCCGCTGTTGGTGTTGAATCGGCGCAACAATTTTTGTCGCTACATGCGTGTCGGCACTCTCTTACAAGCAACCCGCTCTCCAACTCTCCACCAAAGGGCCAAAGGGGTATATCAAACAGATGCAGCAGTTTTTTCGCGCAGAAAAAAACACTTGAAGTATGTATGGATCTAGGCCAGGAGCGGAATTCGCGCAATTTTGGAGTTTCGCGATGCACCGGCTGTGCGGATGCTGTGTAGCGTGGGCGTATTGGACGGTGGCGATGATATACCCTTTTATCATCACCGCATCACCGCAGAATATTACTGAGCATGATGATGATATGTAGATAGACGTTGCGACGCCGAACCAGGGTGATACATATGTGTATCTATAACATCAACAACCGCCGGTCGGTGTTCTTTTCGGCACATCTCGCTCATTCTTTTAGGTTGGCGAGTTCATGACTGACGTCAATGCAACCTACAGCAGCAGTACATACGCATAGCTGCACAGATATATCCAAGCAAGATTTCACCTTAGAGATTTGATCAAGAGGCGTTTTGGTACCCTGCCACCCTGTATAAGCGGACAGCAGCGGTAGACAGACATGTACGGCGGTAAATGATGCCTTCGATGCAGCGGGGACCGAGTGTAATGTGTGATCGATCACCCACGGTTCTTATGCCCCGACGGCCCTCATCAAGAATAGAGGCGGAGTGGAGTTTGTGCCCTGCGATCACAAACGTCTGGCGCGATCCTTCTTGACAGTCTCGCTATCCACTGCTGTTGAAGGACGGACCAGTAGCAACCGCCCTCACCTCTGCCAGCCAGCTGTGTCATCATCGTTTAAACGAAGACAGACGCGGCTTTTGCATCGGTGGTGGCGATCTTTACTGTACAGCAGTACTGGGCTGTCGAGAAGGAAAGCGAGACTTTTTGTAGGATGACGGACAGGTCGCGCCAGACGTACATGGTCACATACTCTCATCTTCACGATCTTAGTGAGATCGTCGGGGCGATATAATCCAGTTACAATATCCGGTTTTTATCTGGAACGGGTACAGAGGTTTTCTTCGCATGTACCTACTTTTCTACAAGTCCTTGGCGGGGGCAACAGCGCAAGAGACAGGATTCCCATGATTGATCTACTCCTCTGCTGCTGTAGGTTCCTCAGACGCTATTATACTACTCTACAGCGGTACGGAGTTTGAGAGAAGAGCATGTGGAGAAAGATATATACAACGGCTCATGTTCCGTTAGGAAAGCAATACATCACCTTCCCGATTGCAACTTCTTCCCCACAAGCGAGCATCCCACCGGCGGGATACTATGCAAAGCTTGACGAACGCAAGCACGCGCGCAAAACGCGCACACCTCGCCTCCCCACACTTGACAATCAGCCAAACACCAGGCCTCCGCATCTTCAAATCAAGCCTCTTCATATTTCCTGGATGGGGAAGCATACCCGACGACGAAGGACTTCATGGAGTCCCTTGTCGTCGGATATGCTTCCCCATCCAGGAAACATGAAGAAGCTTGAATAACTTTGTCCGTTGCTCTTATTTTTGGGCACGTGCGCTTCGACACAACCACTTAATAATGATGCCGCGTGTGCATATCTATCCCGTTCGACTGTGGGTATATCTCGAATGGGTAGCTTTCTGTGTGTGTTTTTATTATTCCTTAATATTTATCTACAAAGCCAGGTCCGTCAATGTCCGCACGCTGCGGACCGCGCTGCTGTGTGGGTTAGGTTTCAGTTGAACACGCGCTGCGGACCAGGCTATGGGGGCGTGGTAGTCGCAAGTCTTCTTAACTGATTGATTGACATTGCGGAGATTGACGGAGGATTCCGCCCGTTCCGGTGCCGGAGCAAATACTACTTACCCTATGCCATTCCCCCGCCCACCCAACCAACCCCCTCCTTCTCATCCTCACTCCACGTTTTCTTTCTCTTCCCTCTCATCATTGCGTACTCTCTCTCGCGCGGGCGGTTGTTGTTGTTTTTTTTGTTTTTTTTCTTTTTCGGTACAGCTACGCAAGATCGGCGAGGCTCGCGAGGCAGTCGACGCCCGGTTCGCCGAGAACGCCGCTCAGCTCATGGAACGCCAGACGGAAAAGCAGACGTCCGCCACGCGCAGGCAAGCGAAAATCGAATTTTGATGGGGTTGTTTATGGATACAACCGCCAGCAGACTGCTTGCTGCCGCTTCTGCCGCTGCTGGTTGCTGCTGGTTGCTGGTTGCTGGTCGCTGTTGCTGGTTGCTGCTGCAAACGCACGCACACCAAGAGTTCTGAGCACACCGGCAACAGAGTATGCCGGCGGGGGGGGGGGGGGGGGGGGGGGGGGGCAAACCTGGTTGGTTGACAGGTGACATTTTCACGAATTCGNNCCTCGCTGCCTCTGTGCTTGCTGTTCGGTCGAGGAAATCATCAAACACATAAGTTTTCTTGGTGTTTTACACAGCGCACTCTTTCTTGGAACCATGAGGTCGTTCTGTATTGTCCGTCCCAACCAATCATTGACCGCCGAATAACACACCCAAGACGACGCCGTCGTGGCGGGAGGTACCTGCTCTCCTGCTTTAGCGTCGGTGCTTGTCTTTTATCATTTGCACCGACGGGACTAACCTGGTGACCAACGAAAAGGCGTCAGTCTCAAGTGAAAACAGTAAAAGGCGATGATCTGGGACCCCCGCAAGGGGGCGTCATGGGGGAGCCTAAGCTGCTCTCGGGATTCAAGACAGAAACAACAGCAGTAATAGCAAAGAAATAATAGTGCAAGTGTCTACATATTGTTGCTTATTCTGTTTTCTTCCCTGCGGGCACTACGTGTACTCTCCTCGCAAACATTGCTATGCGTAACATTACTCTTGGGTAGCTCTCGCTTCCCCTCCGGTTTGTGTGCCGTGTTAAGAGAAGTCGTTGGGAAACCCGCAGGTCTGCTCCAGCTGTGATGCCAGCAGTTGTGTGGGGAACCAATCGAGCAGGAGGCACGGTATCAGTATCAGTACTAGCTGATAATATTTTTTTCTCGGCGGCCGTTGGCTAGATGCATTATTGTAGTTGGTGCACACTGGCGAGGGAGGTCTACAGTACCCGTCCGGCGTTGTTGGTGTTACTTGTTGATAGCAATATATCTTCTCTTTACCACTAAAAAACTATACGTTCCCGCCGCCTGTCAAGACGCCAATTCGTCTTGAGGCGCTGCAGAGAAGACATAAAAAAAATGCTGCAAGAAGGCACGGGCGCTCCGAAGACATAACCAAAAGTGCCAATGGAGTACGTATACATCACAGTTATGCTACAACCAACGACGTTCGGCCGCTCCGTTTGTTGTGCCCTGGACCGTCTGTCTCTCTGGGCAGACGTAGCTGCCTGGCTCTGTCCGTCGACCTCGCGCGGAAATAATGACTCACATCACACATGGTGCCGCGGTTCCAGCTGCCCCTAAAAATGCCTTTGTCCGGGACGCATGTAACAACACCTACCTATTTTCTTGGTTTCACCCCGCCCCCGCCGGGGGGATAAACGAAATAAACAACGTGCAACGTGATTCAGGCGACGCACCAGCCTGGAAAACATCAAGAACGCTCGGGCCATGCACAACCGCCGCGTGAACCAACGCCGGCGGGAGTCCTTCGACGACGCCAGCGGCGTGAGCCCCGCGCGCATCAAGGGCATGCACGAGTTCGAGTCGAAGCTGGCGCGGGCCGAGCGCAACCGCGACAAGCTGCGGCGGGAGCGCAGGAGACGCGCGATGGAACGCTACGAGGAGGGCAAGGCCCGGGTCCTCGAGCAGGGAGCGTTCGCTTCTTCCGCCTCGTCGTCGGCGTTCGTGGGCGGCGTGGGCGGCGTGCGCAGCGGCTGCCTCCGAGCCGGCCCCGGGAGCGGCGGCGGCGGCGGCATCACCAACACCAAGAGCACCAACGGCGAGCTCGGGAGGGACAACCGCCGGAGGCGCGCGGCGGAGGCCAGGCAGGCGGCCAAGGCCCGCCAGACGCAGCGCATGAGGAGCCTCCGGCAGCGCATGCTCTCCCACACGTCCCGGGTCTCGGAGCGGAAGACGCGCCTCTTCGCGGCCAGGCTGCTCCAGGCGTGGTGGCGCTGCGTCCGCGAGGGCAAGAGCTTCGACGTAACGGGCCTCGCCCTCTCCATCTCCTCCTCCTCCTCCCCCGACGCGACCCCGCAGCAGCGCTCGCCGCTGGGGTCTCCGACCTCGTGGGCGACCGCCCAGGGACTCGGGCTCTCGGTGCCCGACGTCGGCTGCGGCTCCGTCGTTCCCTTCGGCGACTACATGAGAAATCAAGCGTCTGCCGCGTCCGGCGGCGGTCCTGCGTTGTCGCCGCCGGTGCTGGACCCTTGCACCCGCTCTCCGATCCCCACCTCAGGGAGGTTTTCTCCTGGTGTAGGCGGTAGCAAGAAGGTCTTGGGGACCGCCGGCGCCGCCGTAGCCCCGACGATCGGCCGCGGCTGTGCCAGGGAGACGGCCGGCGGGGGCGCGGGGGGTGCGGGGGCAGCAGCCGGCGCCGGCGCCGGCGGCGTCTCCGCCATGAATGTGACGACGATGGGCTACGGCTTCGGCTCCCACCACAAGGCGGCGCTGGCCATCCAGGCGTTCCTCAGGCGCAACATGCACCCGCTAAAGGTGGCGAACGCGCTTCTGGCCGGCCGGCTGTCGATAAAGGTGCTCTGCGCCGCGGTTCGCACGATGTCGACCTCCACGTTCGACGAGGCGATCGACGTCATGTCGACCCGCGCCATCGTGAGCCACTGCGAGACGGCCCTCAAGGCGCTCCGCATGGGCCGCGAGATGCGGTGCGTCCCCCAGACGGTGCGGTCGGCGCGAGCGTTCCTGTCGGCCCTCCTCGTTAACTTCTTCCCGACCTCCGCGCTCGACGACGAGGGCGCGCTGTCGTCGTCCCCCGAGGGCACCGCGCCCCTGAAGGTCGAGAAGGACCGGCTCGTTAGGGCCGCCGGCAACGCCATCCAGGCCCTGCTTGGCCTGGAGACTACGATGGACGCCGCCGCCGCCGCCGCCGCCCCGGCTGCGGCGACCGGCGGCGGCGACGGCGGCACGGAGAAGGTGGCGGCGGCAGCGACGGCGGCGATGGCGACGTTTAGCGCGGAGCACTTCCCGAAGATCAGGCGCGCGAGCGCAACGATGGTCCGGGCGAGGGTGGCCTTCTGCCGGCGCTTCGCCGAGTGGAAGCGCAAGGACGCGGTGCGCCTGGCGGACGAGATGACGGCGGCGTCGGTGGACGTGCTCTTCATGCAGCTGCGGGCGGAGCGCGACCTCCACGTGGCGGCCGTGCGGTACGGCATCGACGACGCCGACGACGAGGGCGCACTGTTCTCGACGGGCTTCGAGCAGATCAAGGAGGGCACGCAGCGCCAGCTGGGCAAGATGATGCACGCCCTGGGCAAGCTGGTCGGGGCGGACGAGGCCCGGCAGCGCATGAACGACGCCACGGACGCCGCCTTCGAGCGGCTCCGCGCGGACGAGCTGGCCGAGGACGAGGCCTTCCTGGCTGAGCACGGCGCAGCTTTCGCAGATGACGACGATGACGACGACGACGAGAACATGGACACCGACGACAGCGGGAGCGACGGGAAGCCGGCGGCGAGTGCATCTGCGGCCGCGGCGGCGGCGGCGGCGGCCGCGGGGGACGGCTCCAGTGCCGGGGGAGCGTCGGCGGCGTCGGAAGCGGCGGCCGCCCTGCTCGGTAAGAGCGGGAGCATGGCCATGTCGGAGGAGGAGGACGACATCGCCGGCCCGCGACGCCCCCTGTCGGGGGGCGATTTGTTAAGCAAGGAGTGGTTGGTGCCCGGGGTGGGTTGGCGTGGGCTTGTTTTTTCGGGGGGGGGGGGGGGGGGGGGGGTCTGCCGCTCGTAAAACAGCGGTGGGCCTGTACTTAGCTGGATATTTTTTTGTGTTTCCTTTTGGAAACGCTGCGCGGCGCTCGTATTTGCGCGCAAGGTATGTATTTTGTTTGTTTTTTGTTCTTCATGTCAGGAGACAAAGAACGGCACAGCGCATGGTATCATCTTGGCGTTGATTGAGAATCGCTGGCCCTCCTCGGACAACAACCCCTATGCGTGGGAAGCAGAACATAATCAATCGTGAATCCCAGCCGAGAAGGGATCGCCTGTCGCACTGGTCGTGTAGGTAGGTATTGTCCGTTGTGGCTCTTTCTCTCTCTCTTTCTCTCTCTCTCTACATGCAGACTGCTGGCCGAGGCGACTCTTCTTGTTCCGGCATGGGCATAGTACTCGCTCACCACTCGCCTTTTCCCCTTTCCTGCACGCCTGCCTAGCCTGCCTAGCCTGCCTGCCTACCTGCCTACCATCGAGAAGACCTCTCCTCACCGCCTTCCTCCTTGCCCACCAACCACTCGCTACAACGCTACATCGCACGGGAACAAAACAAAACAAAACAAAACAAAACGAAACGAAAAACAGGTCATGATCAGCGGCGAGACCCTCACCGTGTCCATGGAGGAAGCGATCGAGAACCAGCTGCTGCGGTCGGGCAACCCGGCCGTCGCGGCCGGCGGCGGCGAGGACGGGGTGAACGCCTACTGGTCCACGGTCGAGAGCCACGTGGCGGCGGAGGACTACACGCCGCTGCTCGGCCTCGTCGCCGAGCTGCGCGACAAGATCATCGGGCTCACCCCGCGCCGGCGAGACCTGGCGGCGGAGACTTGCGAGGCGATGGACGTGGAACTCCTGGAGCAGATGATGGACTACGGCGCGTTCGATGTGGTGCGCGTTGTAAAGAGATTGTTATTGCCACGCCGCGTGCACATCTGGAAGCAAGACCCGTGGTGATAAACTAACTCACCTCACTTGTTGGTTTCTCGTGTGGGACAGCCGTAGTTGCTGTGCCCACATTCAAAGTACCGCGACATGCGGCCCGCCTTCCTCTGCCCGGTTCTTTCATTTTTTGTTGTTGTTGCTGCTGCTGCTGCTGCTGCTGCTGCTGCTTTTGTATACACCTCGCTCGACATCGGTTTTCTGGCAATTTTTTTCTCTCTCTCTCCTTTCGTTTGGGTAGGTGTGTTTTGTTGCCGTCCGTCCCACGCCCGCAGAAAGACACAATACAGTAAGAGTTTTGGTACACCCGTGTGTACGGCATGAAGATGCGGTGGGTGATGTTCCGTGTTTTCTTGGACTGGTCACCGGCTTAGCTACACTTTTTTGAGTCGGCTCTGCGTGGTGGTTTTTGGCGCAGTACGATGACGTGGGTTCGGAAAACGCACTCCTCCTGCATTCCGCCTGTTCTTGGATCGGTGCAGCCGTCAACACGTTGATAGATCGGCTTCCACACGACATGATGATGGAATGCAGAAGAGAAGGAAGAGTCCATGCCATGCCTCCTGCGTTGATTGGTTCCGTCTTGGACGCCGGTTGAACCCCGCCCCACCGTACTCCGTCCCCTCTCAACCACGCACACACACACGTTTTTTTTTGTTTTTCTTGACCGAAAAGCCCTCGAACTAATTTTGTTCCCGTGACTTGTATATTTTTCTTGCGCATCATTAAAAAAAAAAAAAACAGGGTTGTTTCTTCCGCATGGTCGCTTTTGCCGGCGAACGCGTGCTCGAGCTGGAGGCCCCCATCCGCAACGACGACACCAAGGCTACGCTGGCGGGGTGGGGCCGTACCCAGGACGAGGTCGAGGGCGGCCGGCGGCGCCTGGAGCCGGCCATGGTGCGGGAGTGCTTCGAGTACCTTTTTTCCAAGGTGAGATATTTACTTTAGGTTGGCCCACGGTAAAGGCGTCCGCGGCGGTTGGATCGGTTCGGTTCAGTGGATGGTCGTGCGAAGTTACTGAACGGAAAGAGACTCGAAGGGGAGAAACAAGAAGCTCCTCCTCCGCCGCCGCCGCCAGGGAAAAGGCCACCCGCGAAGCCGCCGCCGTTAGACCCTGTTACAAGGCCTGGCGGCGGGGGGGGGGGGGGGGGGGAAAGGGGCTTTTTCCTAAACAAT